TACTGCAAGGTACCATACCACAAAGGGAAGGCTGGGATTGAGTTTGGGGGTGATGAATCATAAGGGGGTTCAAAAAATTTGGGAGGGGGGATTTTTTTTTACTTTTTTTTTCTTTTTTTCCTTTTTTTTTTCTTTTAAAATTTTCCATTTTAAGTTGGTTATTTCTGATTAATATTTAAAAGCAAATAATAATGATATGGTAGGAGATACACACCAAACAGGATGTGTAAATTATTATATAATAAGTATTGTGCAATAGCAAGAAATTTTCAATTGCACAGTATTGCACAATAGCAAGAAATCTTCAATTGCACAGTATTGCGCAATAGCAAGAAATCTTCAATTGCACAGTATTGCGCAATAGCAAGAAATATCCAATAGCACAATATTGCGCAATAGCAAGAAATTGTCAATTGTACAGTATTGCGCAATAGCAAGAAATATTCAATTGCACAGTATTGTGCAAAAGAAGATACTTCGTATAAATTGCTTATTTCTTGATCAATTTCAATGGGGTTTTATTCTTGAATTCTTGGGGTTCTTTAATATGCTGAATCTAACTGTGTATTAAGTTTTTGGATTTTGGGCCCCGTTTTTAAATTGGTCCACATTGAGGTCCAAAGGGTCCAAAATTTAACTTTGTTTGATTTCATCAAAAAGTTGAATTATTGGGGTTCTTTGATATGCCGAATCTAACCGTGTATTTAGATTCTTAATTTTTGGTTCCGTTTTCAAATTGGTCTACATTAAGGTCCAAAGGGTCCAAAATTAAACTTAGTTTGATTTTAACAAAAATTGAATTTTTAGGGTTCTTTGATATGCTGAATCTAAACATGTATTTAGATTTTTGATTATGGGCCCAGTTTTCAAGTTGGTCCAAATCGGGATCCAAAATTAAACTTTGTTTGATTTCAACAAAAATTGAATATATGGGGTTCTTTGATATGCTGAATTTAACCATGTATTTGGATTTTTGATTTTTGGTCCCCATTATCAACTTTGTCCACATTGAGGTCAAAAGGGTCCAAAATTAAACTTTGTTTGATTTCATCAAAAATTGAATTCTTGGGGTTCTTTGATATGCTGAATCTAACCATGTATTTAGATTTTGGATATTGGACCATATTAGGTGAATGTCCAATTGAAAATTTTTAAGTTCTTAGACCACATTCATTCTGTGTCAGAAACCTATGCTGTGTCAAATATTTAATCACAATCCAAATTCAGAGCTGTATCAAGCTTGAATGTTGTGTCCATACTTGCCCCAACTGTTCAGGGTTCGACCTCTGCGGTCGTATCAAGCTGCGCCCTGCAGAGCATTTTATTTTCTTTTAAAATTTTCCATTTTAAGTTGGTTATTTCTGATTTATATTTAAAAGCAAATAATAATGATATGGTAGGAGATACACACCAAACAGGATGTGTAAATTATTATATAATAAGTATTGTGCAATAGCAAGAAATTTTCAATTGCACAGTATTGCACAATAGCAAGAAATCTTCAATTGCACAGTATTGCGCAATAGCAAGAAATCTTCAATTGCACAGTATTGCGCAATAGCAAGAAATATCCAATGGCACAATATTGCGCAATAGCAAGAAATTGTCAATTGTACAGTATTGCGCAATAGCAAGAAATATTCAATTGCACAGTATTGTGCAAAAGAAGATACTTCGTATAAATTGCTTATTTCCAAAATTTAACTTTGTTTGATTTCATCAAAAAATTGAATTATTGGGGTTCTTTGATATGCCGAATCTAACCGTGTATTTAGATTCTTAATTTTTGGTTCCGTTTTCAAATTGGTCTACATTAAGGTCCAAAGGGTCCAAAATTAAACTTAGTTTGATTTTAACAAAAATTGAATTTTTAGGGTTCTTTGATATGCTGAATCTAAACATGTATTTAGATTTTTGATTATGGGCCCAGGTTTCAAGTTGGTCCAAATCGGGGTCCCAAATTAAACTTTGTTTGATTTCAATTGATCAATTTCAATGGTGTTTTATTCTTGAATTATTGGGGTTCTTTAATATGCTGAATCTAACCGTGTATTAAGTTTTTGGATTTTGGGCCCCGTTTTTAAATTGGTCCACATTGAGGTCCAAAGGGTCCAAAATTAAACTTTGTTTGATTTCATCAAAAATTGAATTATTGGGGTTCTTTGATAAATGCCGAATCTAACCGTGTATTTAGATTCTTAATTTTTGGTTCCGTTTTCAAATTGGTCTACATTAAGGTCCAAAGGGTCCAAAATTAAACTTAGTTTGATTTTAACAAAAATTGAATTTTTAGGGTTCTTTGATATGCTGAATCTAAACATGTATTTAGATTTTTGATTATGGGCCCAGTTTTCAAGTTGGTCCAAATCGGGGTCCCAAATTAAACTTTGTTTGATTTCAACAAAAATTGAATATATGGGGTTCTTTGATATGCTGAATCTAACCATGTATTTAGATTTTTGGGCCCCGTTATCAACTTTTTCCACATTGAGGTCAAAAGGGTCCAAAATTAAACTTTGTTTGATTTCATCAAAAATTGAATTCTTGGGGTTCTTTGATATGCTGAATCTAACCATGTATTTAGATTTTGGATATTGGACCATAATAGGTGAATGTCCAATTTAAAATTTTTAAGTTCTTGGACCACATTCATTCTGTGTCAGAAACCTATGCTGTGTCAAATATTTAATCACAATCCAAATTCAGAGCTGTATCAAGCTTGAATGTTGTGTCCATACTTGCCCCAACTGTTCAGGGTTTGACCTCTGCGGTCGTATCAAGCTGCGCCCTGCGGAGCATTTTATTAATGCAATATAAGGATAACCAATTTATTTCAGGCAAATTTCATCATGTTCTAATGAAGTAACAAGCTTATTTTGCCGAAAGTTAGAATGATTTGATGTACGCTCTCGAGTAACAAATACCAGAAATCATAAAAAAATTGTTTTTACGAAAATAACATGCAACCAACTTTAAAATCAATGCTGTAACCTCTTTTCTAAAGAAAACAAATCGTTTATGTCTTTGAATTTCTTTACTTTCAAATGAAAAATTGCTGTTTCATCGACTTGGTAAATGTTGAATATTGCCGATGACGAAAGCGACTGAAAGCGAGTATCGTGAACAACAGGGTGACAAGATTTCGCTTTTGACGGTCGGGCAAAGCGAAGTGACGGATGGGAAAGCGACTTTGTCGCCCCAGTCGCCTGCTAGCGTGAGCCCTGCAAATTATAATTTGTACAACATTACAATTTGTACACAACATATACATTATACTTAAATGTTATTGAGTATAATGTATGCCCCGCCTATCTATTGATTGCAGATGTTAGTCTTAATAACAATGCTTGAGAAAACATTCATACAAACAAAGCAAGCAAGCAAACCAAACCTTTAAACTACAAGCATTAAGAAAACAGCTCTAATTGGGGAAAGAGGAAGAGGATGTTGACTAAAATTGAGATAAAAACTGTAAATGAAGTTACATTAATTCAGTATATGGCTTGACTTGTTTTATCTATTATCATGGGGGCTTTGGTGTCCGAGTGGTCTAAGTAGTCGCTCTACTGTATCACCAACCTGTCAACACTGATGTTGTGAGTTTCGAATCCTGTATGTGGCAGGTGCGCTCGACTCCTATCTTAATTGACTAGGATTGTCAGTTTTCCTACCAGAGGTTGGTGATTCCCTCCAGGCACTCCGGCTTCCTCCACCAATAAAAAAACTCATTGCCACAAAATAGCACAAAAGTGCTGAAAGTGGCATTAAACACCAATCAATCAATTTTATTATCAGGTACACATGTTGCATTTGTTTATTTATAAGTTATCAGTAATCATAACCCTGTTTCATATGAAGTGGGGGTATACTGTTTTAACTCTGTCAAATTGTCCTACCATCCCTTTATATTTTCATCATACTTTTCCCTGTTCCAGAATTTGGTCTTAAGGTTCATGTGAGCAAGTTCAACTTCCTGTTTATGGAATGCTGATATATTCTTACACATAATGATCATGTATGAACATTTTGTTGTTTTTTTTCTTATCAGATTTCAGCAACAGCTCACAATACATCTTGTTTGTTTTAGAATTTAAAAAATATGAATCATATAGTTTAATGACTGTACATTTACAACTACTAAAAAAATTTTTATGTGGAGTTTAGTATTGCCCATTTTGCATTTAAGGTAGATGGGGTGTCTAAATTATAATCCATAGAATTTTTTAATAATTTGCCAAAATGTAGTTTATATCATGCTTTTTAAAAAAAAATAATAAAAAGAATGGGTCACAGGGCTTATTTTCACGCTACAGGTTGTGCAAAATTGACAGATTTTGTATAGATTATGCATGGAAAACCCAATTTTCTGCCATAAAACGAAAACTACACCATAGAATTTTGAGATAAAATATGAGAAGATAGCTCTACTAGTATGCTTTCAGATAAGAAAAAGAAAAAACGGGGTCACGGGACCCGTTTTCTTGCTACATAATAAAATAAATAAATTCCTAACACATTCTATTGTAAAAGTAACTTTATCTGAATTATCTGCCCTTACATTTGAGTTGCCTCCCCTTATGTGGCAAAGTTGGAAAAAATAGAATCAAACAAAAGTATTCTTTTTTTTTTATAGAATACAACCATAAATATGATAAAATAGGTCATTTTCTATATTGAAATGAAAATTCTTACACATGAATTACCTACTACTCTCAAAATTTGCACTTTTTATTAAAGATCTACACCGATTGTTTTCTTGTATTTCAAAATCCAAGATGGAGGAAGACACCCTATCTACCTTAAGATTGAATCATGAAAATATTCCCCATTTTATCTTTAAGGCAAATGAGAATTTAAGACAAGAAAAACAGGATAATAAAATCCTCCTGAATATGTTGCCTTTGACATCATGAAATTTAATTGGTGAGAACATAAACCATTTAACAGTATTTATACATATTATAACTTGTTAGGTAATAATGTGCCATTCTTTATTTCAGTGAGGAAGAAAAGAGTTGGAAAGTCATAGTGTCACATGTTTTTACAAACTTTAGTGTTTTTATTATAAATGTACGTCCAAGCCTTAGGCTCATGGTACACATCATCATCACAGCTATGCCTAGGAATTTGTTCAACACTCAATTGCCTGCTATCATTGTCTCGGCTATATGTAGACATTCATTTAAATTAAGAATAGTTGCAATATTTCTCCATTATTTTCCAGACCGTAGTGTATTATAATGTTGATTGGTATCCCAGCTGTAGGACTTGGCATAGGGGAACTATACTTATTTCCAAAAATGCAAAAAGATAGAAAACAAAACAGCTGCAGATATTTTCTTATATGTGAAATTTTGGTAGATGTTGAAAATTTTATATGTATTCAAAATGTTTATAAGTAATGCTTACATTATTGAGAAAAAGACTTGTTTATACTTGTACTTGAGACAGTCACATAAAATTTTCATGTAAAATAGTCCTATGAGTAAATGGGAGCAACATTGACAAGATTAATACATTATGGCCTTTATAAACATGTTTCATTTAGTGTTCTTTGATGCCAGTCGTTTTATATACTACCAACATTTTTGTATAATTTAGTTTGTGCTAAAGATATTATATATCCACCTTGCCATCGGCAAATATACCTCACTAAAAGACCATTCTAACGTGATGATATGTTTCTTGGCCACTTTATTTGTCAGTCCCAAAAAAAAGCAAGATTATTTTGTTGAATTGTATTATTTTTGTTGTTTTTATTTATAAAAATTATGGATATGTTAGATGAAAAGCATGGATTGCTGAACCATTATCACCTGTATTAGCATAAATAAAGTTTGTATTTTGATGCAAATCCAGAAACTTTTCTGCAAAGGGACTTTGGTCTAAGGAATTGGAATATTCTGCATCACATAGGAAAAATGAGAAAACAATAATGAAATATTAACTCCCACCCAAAAAAAAAGTTACAGTGCACAAAAAGCAGATTATACCTTAGATAGTTAAGATATTTTTATATACACTTATTTTGCTGGCAACAAAACTAACAGAAAAGCTTAAATAGAGGCTGTATGTACAACATTTCATGTTTATTTATATCTTTGAGTTATGGGCATCAGTGCTGAGTGTTATTACACTTGTTAAAGCAATGTTTCAGAGTAAGAACAGTTTTAATATAATATATAAAAGTAATATTTTGCAATAAGCTTGTTATTTATGCTACTGCTGAATTATTATTTTGTATTGCAACATTGCTGTTGTAGATATTTATATTAAGTGAATGTAACAGTATAAATATTAATGTATTCCAAATTTCAAATAATTTATATTAAGGTAGATAGGGTGTCTTCCTCCATCTTGGATTTTGAAATACCAGAAAACAATCGGTCTAGATCTTTAATAAAAGGTGCAAATTTTGAGAGTAGTAGGTAATTCATGTGTAAGAATTTTCATTTAAATATAGAAAATGACATATTTTATCATATTTATGGTTGCTTTTTACAAAAAAAACAGAATACTTTTGTTTGATTCTATTTTTTCCAACTTTGCCACATAAGGGGAGGCAACTCAAATGTAAGGGCAGATAATTCAGATAAAGTTACTTTTACAATAGAATGTGTTAGGAATTTACCTATTTTATTATGAAGCAAGAAAACGGGTCCCGTGACCCCATTTTTTCTTTTTCTTATCTGAAAGCATACTATTAGAGCTATCTTCTCATATTTTATCTCAAAATTCTATGGTGTAGTTTTCGTTTTATGGCAGAAAATTGGGTTTTCCATGCATAATCTATACAAAATCTGTCAATTTTGCACAACCTGTAGCGTGAAAAAAAGCCCTGTGACCCATTCTTTTTATTATTTTTTTTTTAAAAAGCATGATATAAACTACATTTTGGCAAATTATTAAAAAGTTCTATGGATTATAATTTAGACACCCCATCTACCTTAAGCAGAATTGGAAAATTGTCTCTCACAGGTTGTACTCTGTGTTTGTATTTCAATTCACCATTTTATAATCTAATGTTTTTCAAAAAGGATTTGATTGGTCATGTTTAATACTGTTTTGAACAACCAATAGTATTATTTTAATTCATTTTGGAGTAAAAAAAATCCAATTACCCATAATCCTAAAGATTCTAAAAATGGAGAATTGTATAAATTATTAGTTGCAGTGCTTATAAATTTAGATATATTTTCGATATAAGCTTTCAATTTTATTTAATTAATTGGATATTTATGATGAAATGTTGACTGTATGATGGTAAATCTGCATTGTAAAATACATGGTTATTTTTTGTTAATTAATTTACTAGATAACAGTGTGATATCATCATGGTTGTATAACTATTATTTCATGTGCTGTTCCACAAGTGCTTGTTTTTGGGACTATTTGGTGGAAGGCACTTTAATTGGTGTAGATCAAGATTTTGTTGTAGGGGAGATTTCCACCTAGAAATGGAGCATTCAGTCTAATTTTTGTTGCTTTTTAATGGATTTAAAAAATATATATAAAAGGGGGTTCCAAACCGTGGAACTCTCCTTGACCAGCCAATGCCAATTGTAAATGAGGCAGAATATCTTGCTGAAGAAATGTGATAAGAAGAAGAGTGTCCTCTGATCTTCTTATGAATCTATTTTGTAAAGGCATTTAGTAATTGTGTATTGTCAGGTTTTATTTTCTAGTCTAGTCTTCAAATTTTATGAGTTACCAACATAGCACATTTGTTTCCCATTTAATGCAAGAAATTGAAAATTGTATCCTTCATGATAAAATGTATTTGCCACCACTGAATAAACTAAAAAGTGGACACAGAGAAATGTCGTGCATGCCTACTAATGGTATATTGAAAATTAATGTTTATTGGTACGAAAGCCAATTTGTGCATTGCTTGCTTTTTATATAAAAAGTAGATACACAATATTATATGCTATACTATATTCTAATTCTTGGATCGGAAATACAAGTATGCTTAGCTTATACTGAATATACTTGCTATGAAAATGTATATGACATGAATCTCTTTTTTACAAGATGTAAATGCTGATAGATGTTGTCAAATATGTTATTTGTACTATCAGATATGCTAAAATATCCTGTTTTTGTTGTTTGTCATTTTTTAATTGTTTGTAAAGTAAGTTTTGTGAGAAAAAAAATTAATAGGTATTTTAATCACAAAGTTCTATGACAATCTAACCTTTACTGCATTGATTGTCTATGCACTGTGCAGCTTGAAATATCTATAAATATTATATAGATAACAGAGAAAATGGTAAAAAGACAGAGAGTAAATGATAAATTTGTTTTTGGTGTTAAATTAATCTTGATTTAAATTAGGCTATAAAAACTAAGTAATATCAAAAATAATTTAATTTTTCATTAAAGGACTTGTTTTAAAAGTTAGCAATAGTACAAGTAATGTCAGTTTTCATTAAACTACTTCAATGCTGAATTTATTTTTCCTTAGAGGAATAAGAGAAATCTACATTCAGGTGACAATAACCTGACATACAGTCTCAAAAGAGTAAAGACAAAGTTATTATTCATGTATAAGGTGTATTTATTATTTTTCCATGTTTCATTTTATATTATGTCATATTTGAACATATTTAATTGATTTTATTTTAGTTGAGGAATGTTTTAGATTTTTTATCTATAATATAATTTAGTTAAATCCCTAGAAAAATAAAAGTTAAAAAGAACTATATCATTGTGTTTATTGTTTATTTTAAATGTTGAATGGGTCATACCTACCCTGCAATACAAAAGGAAAGGAAAGATGATCTAGAGGACAACATTCTGTCTTCAAGAAAAGACAAATGTCTATTTGATATGTCAAACACTAAATCGTGTGGAGTCAAGAAAAGTAATGAATAAATCTAACAGAGACAATCCAAGGTCTATCATGACACCAAATTTCCTAAAGGACATAGAATATTAATATATAACCCCAGGAAACCAGTAGCAGGATATGCTTACCCTTCAGGAGCACCTGAATAACCCCTGGTTTTTGGTGGGGTTTGTGTTTTTTCAAATCCTGCCGTGGCAGAGGGGGCATTAAGTTTTACCCTTGTCCGTCTGTACGTCCATCCATACATCCCGAAATTGGTTTCTGTTCTCTAACTTAAGTTTGCCTCAACCAAATGTTATGAATCATAAAGAAGGAATGCTTATTACAACAAATCAGGCATCACTATTACTGTTCTAGAGTTATGCCCCTTACAAATGGAAAAATTGCTGAATTTTTGGTTTCTGTTTTCTAAGTGAGCCTCAACCAAATGTTATGAAACTAATACACAATGCTTATTACAATAAAAACTCAGATCAAGTTAAAAACTTGGTAGAGTCACTTTCACCGTTCCTGAGTTATGTCCCTTTATAAGGTTATACTAGTGTAAACCCGCCATATTCTATATATCCCAAGTCAGGAGCCTGTAATTCAGTGCTTGTCGGTTATTGCTGTTTCTCATATTTGTTTATCGTTTATTGTTTTGTAAAGTTTGTTCTTGTGTTGTTCCTTGGCACCTTTGTCCCAGGTTAGGGGTAGGGTTGGCGCCAACAAACTAGTTTAACCGGGCTACATTCTGTATGTTCCTGTCTGGAGTCAGGAGCCTGTAATTCAGTGGTTGTCGTTTGTTGCTGTTTTTCTTCATTATTTTGTACATAAAATAGGCCATTAGTTTTCTCATTTGAATTGATTTACATTTGTCATTTCAGGGCCTTTTATAGCTGACTATGCGGTATGGGTTTTGCTCATTGTTGAAGGCCGCACGGTGACCTATAGTTATTAATTTCTGTGTCATTTGGTCTTTTGTGGAGAGTTGTCTCATTGGTAATAATACCACATCTTCTTATTTTTATATTATATGCAAGTGGGGGCATCATCTGTGTCCCATGGACACATTCCCCATTTATATATGTAGTGTTTTGTAGTCTTGTATTTTGTTATGATTTTGTCGGTCTTTCTTTAAAAAACGAGTTTTAATTCATTTTTTGGTAACTTGCCCTCTTATTTTTTACATGGTATACAATATTTATGTAGTCAATATGGACTTAAATTTTCAATTTTATACGATTGACGAAGGGAGTGCAAAGTGTATTGTGTCAAGAATTTATGTTTATCTGATAAAATATGCCTAGAATGTGGAAAAAAGAAGATATTGGTTTACAAGGAGAGATAAACCCAATGACTGAAAAAACAATTAAAAATCAGCATACTGTCTTCAGCAATAGACATGTGTCTTTTTAAAGTGTCAAGCTCTAAATTAAACTATATTTGAAATGTACACGTTATGACCTTTCATTTTATATACAACAACCTTATCTTAAAAGAAAATTTATGTTTTGCATTGAATGACCTTACCCGACCCATTTTTTGGGGATGTCAATTTGATACTTGAAATGTACTCTTTGTGGACTTTCATTTGATATGCGACAACCTAACCAACTGAGAAGTTTGAATTTTTTGCACTAAATGACCCCACCCTTCCCACTGGGATGAAAAATGGGTTTGCAATTTTCATTTTTGAGTAGAGCTCATTAAGACGTTCAATTTGATATACATAATGACTCCATTTGGCAAAGAGCCAAAAATGATGCAATATCAATAATATAAATAGAACTTATGAAACTTACAAAGTCAATGTAAAAGATGAAAATTTCAAATTGATTTTTTTTACAAGGTTTACAAGGAGAGATAAACCCAATGACTGAAAAAACAATTAAAAATCAGCATACTGTCTTCAACAATAGACATGTGTCTTTTTAAAGTGTCAAGCTCTAAATAAAACTAGGTCTAAGACTTGATATGAATAAATTAAACTAGGTCTAAGACTTGATATGAATAAATTAAACTAGGTCTAAGACTTGATATGAATAAATTAAACTAGGTCTAAGACTAGATGTGAATAAATTAAACTAGGTCTAAGACTTGATATAAAGGATCTGTAGGGTATACTTCAATGAGACAGCAACCCAACAACACAAAAAAAATATCTATAGGTTGCAACATGATGTCTTCAACAATTAACATGTATCAATAAATATAACCCAAAAATCAAGATATGACATAGACAATCATTTAGAAAGTGAATGACATCAGATTTACATAAGACAGTGTAATAATGAATCCAGAGTATATATGTTTTACCAACAATCCTGTACTAGTCATTCAACTCTAATGAACACTTATTACACAACTCAATGCACAATTTTTTACCACTATAGTATTTTAAATGTTTGATAAAGACATGATGTAAATTGAATACTTCGAAATGAATCATGATAGAAACCTTATCCATTGATTTAAGAAAAAGAGTAAATATTTTGTTCTGGTTTTTAATAAGAAAAAAATGCATTGTTGGAGTAATAAACTCATCATAGATACCAGGATTGAAATTTTGTACGCTAGACGTGTGTTTTGTCTAAAAAAAAAACCTCATCAGTGACGCTTGAATAAAAAAGTAAAAAAGGCCAAACAAAGTAAGAAGTTGAAGAGCATCAAGGACCAAAAATTCCTAAAAGTTTTGCCAAATACAGCTAAGGTAATCTCTTTCTGGGGTAGAAAATCCTTAGCATTTCGAAAAATTCAAAGTTTTGTAAATAGTGTATTTCTAATTAATACCATATCAATGGTAATTAATGTCAACACTGAAATGCTGACTACTGGGCTGGTGATACCCTCGGAGGAAAAATCTCCACCAGCAGTGGCATCGACCAAGTGATTATTATAAATAAACTCATTATAGATACCAGAATTGAAATTGTGTACTCCCGACGCGCGCTTCGTCAAAAAAAAAAGACTCACCAAAAACGCTCATATCAAAAAAGTTGAAAAGGCAAACAAAGTACGAAGTTGAAGAGCATTGAGGACCCACAATTCCTAAAATATATTGTAGTAATTGTCTCGTCTGTGACTTTCGTCGCTGAAGCCGAGACAAAGGTATTGCTTTTCCGTCGACGTCGGCATCACGTCAATCGTTAAGCTTTCTCCTTAAGTTAGATTGAGAACTACTTGTGATAGATCAATGACATTTTGTATGAAGTTGAATTACTATCAGTACATATCAGTTTGACGACTATTGTGAGGCCCTGTCCCCTAGGTCATGGTCAAGTGACGTTGGGTTAATTAGCCATTTTCAATGTTCAGCTTTCTGCTTAAGGCGAAGTATACGTAATTGCACGCCTCTAGCGGAATTTGGGATAAAAAACGTGCGTCGTTAGTTTCGCGAGTTATCTCCCCTACTCCAAGAAAGAAAAAATGGGCACATGAATGAGAAATGTTTTCGTGCGGTCTATAACGAATCCAAAAGAGTATTCCTGTTCTATATCGAAACTTCAAAGAAATTATCAGAATGACTCCAATCAGAAATCTGAGTATCCTATTGTGAGTAAGTCTGACTCTAATACCATTGTTTTTGTTTTAGACACACAGGAGCAGGTACACAATACGATTCGTGTTTATTTCAACAGAAAGTAAAAACGCCTAACAACAAAATTATAACCAAATAAACAAATAAACCAGTGACAATTCTGCTTCTTTTCGTATGAAATTCATTAAAATTAAACTAGAATTGACCCCCACAATATTTTTTTGAAAAACCATAGTTTTGAATGAAATTCAGTGTAGCGTACAATTGTAGGTAACGAATAATTATATTGCATGTGAATTTGTGTGTTGAACTAGAAAGACGTTAGCATGTCCGTTTTTTATGCAATTGAAAATTTTAGGACATGATTTATATTTATGTAAAAAGTATAAAAGATACTAAGGGGTAATCGTCGTAAACAACCACTAGTGCAACATTTATAAGTCGAAGAACAAAGCCAACAGCAAAAAAAAAAAAAAACCCATCAGATTCCGTCCACAAAACATTACACAGAAACTAAGAATTGAGCACTATAACATTTATCCCAGAATAAGTAAAATCAATCTCATCCATTCAGTTTTTTCAAGGTGCAGAAAATAAACAGATGTCTTCTATTCCGTCCGCAATTTTGGGGGAAAGTAAAATCTAAATTTAGAACCATGGTCGAATCTGAAACTACACGATGTATGATAAAAATATAACATGTTATTTTTTTCTTTATCAAATTCCAAAAGGGATAGCGAAATTTGTTTTCTTTTGTTGCGCTTTTGTGTATCATTCAGAAGAAGTGAATACAATTTTGAAGTAAAAATTTTCTTCTCAAGTCTCAATTGAAGATTATGATAGAATAGAGTATAAGAGTATAAGATAGGGGAAAAGGGGGGAGGGGGTGAAGAAAATAATGTATACAATGTCGGGGCCTCTTATAGCCGACTATAAGGTATGGATTTTTCTCATTGTTGACGGCCGTATGGTTGCCTATAATAATTGCTTACATCCACCTCATTTAAGGTAGCTGGGGTGTCTAAATGATCGACGATAGATTTTTTCTTAAACTTCTGTAAAAGACTTCTTGGTCAATGTAATTTCAAATTTCAATATAAAAACTGGGGATCACGGACCTTGTTTTTTCGTAATAATACATTAAGATTAACGAGAGTTGGGTTATTTTATATTGTTTATATAGGGGAAACTTAATTTTTCCTTATCGAGGAAACATTAAACGATAGAATTGGCTAACATTCAATGAGACAATTGCTTTATATTAATACTTCTGAAATATCAAATAAAAATAGGAGGTCATGGGCCTTATTTTCTAGAAAAAATCCCCAAATATA